GCCCCATGCTGCCACAAGTCTCCATCCTTGGAGCCTCAACTTCAGTCCAGAATCTCATTGCCACAAAAGTCCCAAGTCACATCATCTCACTCAGGTGTAGGGAAAGCCTCAACTGGTTGCTTCCAGGAGGGGACAGTGTTGGGGTGCAGCGGGATAAACCTGGAATATCAGAATGTCGGTTCAAGTCCTGGAGGATCCAGTTGGGCGCCGGCTTCCTATTAACGCATCTGGGAGGGCAGTAGAATCCAAATGTTTGGGTTCCAGCCACTCACGTGGGAGTCTTGGGTGGATTTCCTGGCTCTTAGCTTTGTGGCCTGGCCCAGTCCCAGCTGTCGTGGGCATCTGGGGAAGGAACCCGAGCATGGTAGATTCTTCTGCTTTCTCTCTGGCCCTTTCCTCTCTCCCTCTCGTTGTCACTCTTTCAAATAACTGAATAAAATAATTTATAAAATTTAAGTTATTTTCTGGTGAAACACTGCTGTCCATGTTTGGATCAGAGAAACTGGACAGACATAATAGTACCAGAAGTTCCCAATTTTAACGGGTTAAGAGGAGAGGAAGAAAAGAGTAACAGGGACCAAGCAGTTTAGGACCCCCCAAAGGCAGCTGTCCAGGGGTGTAGGGTTTGGAAGGATCCCTCCCGGGGCTGGTCTTCCACCCTCTGGGCTCATGGCCTGACACCAGGGACTGGGACCCATACAACAGGGACTTGGGGACACCAGGAGACACTGTGCACCAACTGTGGTCAACCATGCTTCTTATTAACAACCTAGTATACTTGTTTCCTACTAATTACCAGGCGATGAGTCCTGGGGCCACTCCGGCCCTAAGAGGGGACATGCAGGTGGAGACAGGCCCTGCTGGCTGTCACTGATTCATGGTCCCCCTCCTGTCTCAGCCATTTGGGTCACTCTCCAGGCCCCACACCATCTGCTGCCATCCACTGGGGCTGGCCCCTGTCCACCTTGTCTACCTACCCACAGCACTATGGCCACATTCTCCATCTTCAGCTCTAAAACTCTGGGCCCTTCTCCTATAGATCAGGGCCTGGGCACCGGGAGAGAAGGTTCAAAATTCCTGCATGGGAGGGAGAAGGCAGCCATCTATGTTGTCCCTCAGGCCCAAAGCCAGAAGGTTCTGGGGAGTCCTTGGGCCCTCACCCATCCCCAACAGCCCTACCTTCGCAGTTCCTTCTCGGGGTATTCTACCTGGCCCAGCATCTGGAAGGGGGTCCCTGCTGAAGTGTCCACACTCCATCTGGCCTGGCAAGCTAGGGGGGTGCCTACCCACACTGCAGACAGCCCCTCCCCGCCTCAGCCCACAGCATTGCACACCTCCAGGAAAGCAGGCACCACCAGGCCTGCAGGGCATCCCTTGATCTGGCCAGGTCAACATCTAAAATGAACTTCCCCTTCTCCCTGGGTCCTGGAGACGAGGATGGGGCGAGGAACCAAGCCACGCATCTGCATGCAGGTGCTAAGGGCTTAGGAGAGCCAGAAATTCTGCTGAGGAAAATGATCTTCCGAGCAACACGCAGCTTTCCCCATTATGAATGCAGCCAGCAAACTGGGAACGCACATTTAAATACCACCACGGATATTTTCTCCACATTATGGAACATCTTTCAAAATACTGCTTACACTCATCATTGTCTTGGAGTTATGGCAGCCATTAGCTAGGATGCCTTGTTATTTAAAGCTTTCAGCAGCACACATGGAAATATATTGATAACTGTGCCTCCGTATCATCAGTCTTCTTGGTAATGCCATGCAATGAGCTTCATTCATACACAAACTTCTGTGAGGGCGCCCAAAGTAGTTCATGGCTAGTCTGGGTTTGTCATAAGACACGGGGATCCAGTGTGCACACGCTGCTGCCCATTAACTGGCTGCCGCTCAGCTTCTGGGGACAGGCTTGGCAAGGACCCAAGGAGCGGTCACTCCTCCCCCAGGCTCTGCCCCAGCAGAAGCCAGGCCCTGACAAGCAAGAATGGACACCAGGGCTGACCAGCTGTATCTCCATCGAACGTCCTTCATTTTGTGCTCAAGTGGGGAGGGGTGGGGGATGGTGAGACAGGGAACAGTTTGTTACCCACAACATTAAGCCCCCAGATCTACCCAAGATCCGATCACCATTGCATTTCTTTTGAAAAGAATTTCTTCAGCAATGGGAAGTTGGCGCAGCTAGAGTTTGCACCAGGGCTCCTATGGGAACTCATTTGGGTTGCAGACATCAGGCGCTGGCTACACCTGCTGTGTCATCACCCTGGCTAGGACATTTCCTTCTACATAAGATGGCAGATGTCACTGTCAATTTAAGCCATACTTAGGTGGGATGTTGGACATGACCCATAAGATGCTCCAACAGATTCCATTCCACTCAACCCAACAGCAACATGGACAGCTGATTCCTGGGAATGCTTTGGCAAGCTTGGGTCAATTGCTCCAAATTTTCACTTCTCGGCTGGCCATGGGTTCTTCCCAGGAGCCTCAGAAGGCGGTGACGTCCTCAGACTCTTCACTCTCCAAGTGGACATGATCCTCCGTCTGCACTTGCCAAAGCTGACCAGGCCGCATTTGGTCAGCTTCGAGGTCGGCCTTCCCTGCAGGCCTCCTGCTCCCCAGCCCAGCGACTCCTTTCTACTTCCTCAGATCTCAGGCACACAAAGTCTTTCAGAAACACAATGCATGTTATTGGCAAGCACACACAATACCTAAAACCAAACACCAACCTTGTATTGTTAGTGAATTGCTGGTGTCTTGGCAGACAATTTTCTTTTTTCCCAGCTAAGTCCATGGACAATAGAGAGCATGGGATTTTTTTCCACCTGCATATTTTAGAACATGTAAGTTGATACTGAAGCATTCAATAGCTCAGTGGAGTTTCAGATTTTCTTTTTTTAAAGATTTATTTATTTGAGGGCCTGACACAATAGCCTAGTGGCTAAATCCTCACATTGCTTGTGCCAGGATCCCATGTGGGCACTGGTTCATGTCCTGGCTGCTCCACTTCCCATCCAGCTTCCTACTTGTGACCTGGGAAAGCAGTCGAGGATGGCCCAAAGCCTTGGGATCCTGCACCTCTGGGGAAGAAGCAGAGGAAGCTCCAGGCTCTGGCTTCAGAGCAGCTCTACTCCAACCATTGCAGTCACCTGGGGAATGAGGCAATGGATGATCTTTCTGTATCTCCTTCTCTCTGTAAATCTGTGCCTTCCCAATAAAATTGAATGAATCTTAAAAAAAAAAAAAAATTATTGGGCCCAGGGCAGTGGCTTAGCAGCTAAAGTCCCCACCTTGAACTTGCTGGGATCCCATATGGGTGCCGGTTCTAATCCTGGCAGCCCTGCTTCCCATCCAGCTCCCTGCTTGTGGCCTGGGAAAACAGTCGAGGTCGGGCCAAAGCCTTGGGACCCTGCACCGACATGGCGGACCTGGAAGAAGCTCTGACTCCTGGCTTCAAACTGGCTCAGCTCCAGCTGTTGCGGCTGCTTGGGGAGTGACCCATCAGACGCAAGATCTTCCTCTCTGTCTCTCCTCCTCTCTGTATATCTAACTTTGCAATAAAAAATTTTAAAAATATATTTACTTTAAAGGCAGAGTTCTAGAGAGAAGAGGGAGAGACAGGAAGAGGGGCATCTCCCACCTTCTGGTTCACTCTCAAACGCTATAATGGCCAGAACTGGGCTGGCTCAAAGCCAGAAGCATCGGGTTCTCTCACATGTGTGCAGGGGCCCAAACACTTGGGCCATCTTCCACTGCTTTCCTGGGCACATTCAGCAGAGAGCCAGATCAGAAATGGAGCAGTTGGGACTTGAAGCAACATCCACATGGAATGCTGGCATCCCAGGGGGAGCCTTTACCTGTTAGGCCACTGTGTTGGGTCTGGAGTTCAACATCTTACCCTTCAATGGGTTGCGAATCCCACCCTCTATACTCCTGTTAAGTATTGAGGTGGGTCCCCTATGCACAAAAGAGGGAGGGAAGGCATGTTCCTCCCTGAGCATTGGGCCCACAGCAGCACCCACCTGTGCCCATTGTTCTGCTGGTCCCCAGGAGCGGTGTGCGTGGAGGCAGGGAGTCCTGCTTCACCCCTGGCCTGTTTTGCCTGCTTCCATGTCCCAATCCTGCAGGAGCACCCATCTGGGGCATAGTGCCTGGACTCTGAGCATGCATGGAATTCTGCTCCTCCCTTTCCTGAGGCCCATGGCCTATTCTGTCCCCATCCAGGTCCTTCTAGGCACCCTCAGTGGGAACAGTGTCTCAACAGATCACTGCCTGACGGACACAATGCCCCCAGCTGCCAAGGCAGCATCCATACCGAGGGCTCTGCTGGGTCCCAGGAAATTATATGAGAGCTGCTGTTGTCTCTCAAATGGCTCCAGAGGCAGATGTTTAATGCTTTGACCAACAGAGAGAGCAGATACACAGTCTCCAGAAGGCTCCAAATCCTGGCCTGGGTTCGTCCTTTCACCGTTCTCCCAAACCTAATCTAAATCCAATCTAGTAAAGAAGTGGGTGATGCTGCCTGCCCTGGCTTGCTTGCGGGGTGGTTAAAGCCATCAGAAGACCCTGTGGAGTCCCACCTGCTGGGAAATGAGGCTAAACATCTTAATGGACATTCACATCTGGTTTGGGGCACAGACCTTGGGTCCTAGTGCCCAGGGCTGGCTGCCAGGGACAGGAGGGAGAGACCCAGGAGCAGCATGACCCTGGGCAGGTGAGCCACTGCAACCTCTACTTGCCCAGAGACCTTCGTGTCTAGGCCTATGTTTGAGGGCTTATCTGGGCACCAGCACATGGTGAACACCCCACAGAAGGTAACCGTAATCATCACAAATAAGCAGAAACAACACAAGGAAGAGCGCGCAGTGGTACAGGGATGCGAAGCGGCGCCTGGGCAGGGGCCTCCGCAGACAGAGCGGCAGCGTGGTCCCGGGCTGCAGTCAGGACCACCACATGGAGACTGGGAAAGATGCGGCTGGTGCTAGACAGCGGGGTCTATAAAGTATCTTCTCTTTATTTAAGTTAAACAATTGTCAAGGATGGTTTCCATCTATAAAATGGACAAAGTACAAGCTCTGTACAGCAGTTCTTTTTTTTTTTTAAAAATCAACTGGAAAAAAAAATTACCAAACTATATTTTGGATTTTGCAAAAACATACTCGCGGGTACCATCATTCTGACTTGGGTGGAGACAAGGGACCAACCACAGAAGAGACGGTGAATGGTGTTGCGCTTTGCTCTCAGCCGAGAAGTCTGTGAGATTTTAAAAACTGGAGTTGAGGGGGTTCTGGGGAGGGCGAGTCCTGGTGATAAGAAACCCCCGCGGCCGCAGTGGATCACTTTGGCACACTGTGTCGTGTAAACATAGCTCGCCGCGGAGTGTCCCTCCCTAGCCATCCTCTGTTCCCTTCAAAGTCAGCTCCTGTCCCTCTCCTCCCCTACAGATGCACAAGCAGTGCCAGGGACAGGGGAGACAGGCACCTGTGTCCCCACGGTACCAATGTTGGTGAGAGTTCTGGGTGGGATGGAAGGGTATAAAAAAAACACAGGCCAAATCTGGATTGCCTCGCGGTTCTCTCTGCACCCCCACGCCCAAAACAGCAGTAGTAGCTCACAGGTGCCCAGGGCTGCGTACCAATGGGTTGGCAGACTTGTTCCCGCCAGGTGCTGTTGGCAACAGCCAAGCATGTGTCCCCAATTTCCTTGCACCTGCCTACCCTGGGGTCTGGCTCTAAAGCCAGAGATGTGCAGAGGTTCCCGGGGTTCATGGCCACCCTGGCTGCTCAAAGGGGTACAAGAGAGAGATGACATGGGCTGGTTCCCCACCCGGAGTATGTGTGTGGGGCCTGAGGGGGAGCCTCTTCTCCCCACGTATAGGAAGGCAGTCTCCCATGGCCTCGGGGTGCTGAATCCGCATGGATTCATGATGCCTGTTGTTTGGTCCAGCAGCTCAGGCCAGGGATGGCTGCATCATGTCTCCTTTGAGACCAGAACACTATGTGTGTGTGTGTTGGGCGGGGGGGGGGGGGATCTGGAGAAGGAAGCAGGGCCACGTACATGGGCATGACGAGGGGGCCATCCAGCAGGGGCTAGGCCCGACCTGTGGCCACGTGGGGGACGTCACAAAGACCTGTGTCCCTTTTGGGACTTTGGGTTCACAGCAGTGTTGTATGGGACCATGAAGGCTTCTGTTTATGGCCTGAAGCCCAAAGGCAACTAGGCAGGCATTGCTTGCTGCTGACCCTCCCTAATTCTTTACCCAAGCCCCCCAAGCCCTCCCTCCCACCCGCAGACCTGGTGTGCCACAGCTACTTGGTGTCGCCCCTTGGCCCTGTCACCAGGTAGCCGTGAAGCGCTCCCTGCTCACCCAGGGAGCTGCAGTGAACTTTTTTAAGAGAAAAGAAATGCAATTTTAAAAGACACCAAAGTGTTATCTTTCAGAGTAAGCACCCCGCCAAGGTCTCCAGCCAGTGACAGCACGTGTAATGCAGCCTGGGTCGAAGCCACAGAGGGCAGTGGGCTGGAACTGGTGGCTGGGGGAGGGGGAGGGCTCCACAACACAGTAGCACCCATGGGTGTTTGTCCTGGCTGCCAGCTGCTCTGTCAGGATGCTGTCTGGCTGGGCCATGGCTGACAGATGCCCCATTCTCTGGGAATTCCTATCAGGTGTCCATCGTGGGAAAATTCATATTCAACACGCAAGGGACATCAAGGAGGCACATGGGGGGGAGAAGCCGGGGGTGGAGGACAACAACAGGAGCCTGTGAAATGACATGACTGGGCGCTGCAGAAACCACACGTGACTCGGATGGGGTCGGAAATGGAAGCGTTTTCCTCGCTGGCCCGGCGGGCGCTCCCGGGCGTCCTCCCTGTCCACCAGCCCACCTGGAGGCGTTGGGCAGCTTCTCTCCCATGTGCTGGTCATGGACAGGGTGCTTGCTCCTCAGTGGCTGAGCACACGGTGTCAGGGGGCCGTGGGTGCAGGTGGGCGCTTCTGCCTCCGGGAAGGGAGACCCAGCTACCTGCCGAGTGGCTAGGGGCGCAGGCACCTCTCTCGGCTTGCTGCTGCTATGTGTACACGGTGCCCCCAGCGTTCCTCGCTCAAGTCCTCGGCCACACAGACCGTGATGGAATTTACTGAGGTATATAGTTTCGTGGAAAGTTTGAAGAAACAGAATCGAGAATGTGATCACCGACCTCGGCCTGGTGGCGTGGGAGCAGCAGCCTCCCGGGGGGCCCTTTCTTACTGCTGCAGGTTGAGCGAGAACTTCCATTGCTGCGAGAGCGCCGGGCTGCACACCTCCACGCTTAGCCCCCCGTTCTTGGCAGTGCGGCTGTCCAGGCACAAGTTGCTGCCCACGTGCCGCAGCTTAGAATTGCCCTCGATCTGTTCCCATTTCTGCAAGAGATGGGGATGGGGCGGGGGAACACAGAATATGAGTACGAGTGAACAGAGGAGCCCAGCGAAACCTTCTGGTAAGGGAACAGAAGCAAGGATTGACTTGGCTGCTTTAGACTGTCCACATGTGTTGCAATACTGCATGGCACCTCATAAAATGCAAAAGCATCACATAGGAGCAGAAACAGATCCAGACTGGCAGCCTTCCTTCCTTCTGGCCTCTGGTTATAAAGTGGCCCCATGACATGTCACCACATAGGCCAACGAGGGCCGAGGAAGGAGACGTGTGCTCCACTTAACAACACTCAGTCTTCACCAGGCGGCCCTTGGCCTCCACCCCAGGGGTCTGTCACCCTCCTCCCCACGCCTTGCATCCTGGTCACGCACCCAGGCACTTGACATTGGGGAATGTGCATTCATCTATAGGATTGTCCGACCCAGTGAAGGAGCCGGCCGCTCTCCCTTGGCTGCTGGCAGCACCTCCCATTCCCCACACCTCTGGCTCCCGTTTAGGGGCCTGAGCTTGGCTGAGCCACCAGTGCAGCACTGGGCCAGATGAGGGGTACAGAAGTGCCTGTGCGACTGCGATGTTACCACGTGGTGGGGCCTGTTTCCATGTTGTCAATTCTCCAGCAGTGTGTGACCTTGCTGGGCCTGGGAGAACCTGCCTTGGTCACCCCTGTATCCCCAGGATTCTGCATGGCAGGGGCAGGGCCGAGGTCCACAGTGGTTACTGAACTCTGCTCGGAACCTGTTGCTCGTCAAGTGCTGAGTGTGATTACCGGGTTCCCTACCAGCACTCCCATGAGGAAACCAAGCCCACACGTGCACACACACACCAGGCCCACTAATCAGCCCACTGATCAACTCCACATCCCACCCGCCCCCATCAACCCACCATCCAGTCAGCCCCAAAATACAAAACCTGCAACCAGGCCTGAGAGTCCCCTGGGCTCCTGGTCCTACTACCCGGTAAGTAGCTCAACCTCCTCATTTACCGATCTCACATTTGCTCTTAAAGAAGCAAGGTATTTTTTTTTCCTCCCTAAAGCTCTCCCTTCATTAATGCAGTCTATGATTCTAATTAATTTTTTACACTATATGCACTAAAGCTTCTTTGCTAAGTTTTTTTTTTTAAGATCCCGTCGATGCAGTGGAATTAAATCTTGCTCTCTTCTCCCTTGCCCCCTTTGGCTCCACAAATACATACACTATGAATGCAGGGACGTGCCTAGAAACCAAATATGACAACTGGCCAGACAGGGCAGCTTCACAGGGACACTGGCAAAGGAGCCTCCAAGGGCACATGATGGGGATGGGAAGGAGCCGGGGCCTGACAAAAGTGCCCTCCTCCAGCCACCAGCAGCCTCATCTGCACCCACTAGCTCCCCCGGGCAGGATCCCTGGGCAGGGGGCAGGTCGGCACCCCCCACCCGTCTTGCTCTTGGTCTCTCCTTGGTTTCTAGCAGCTGCCGGGGCCACTGTCAGTCACCCCTTGCACTGTTTGCCTCCATTGTCATGTAAAGCATGTGCAGGGCAGCCAGTGCCAGGAATCATCTCAACAAAGGGTGCCCAATGAATGGGAGCTGATTCTGCAGGGATTCTGCCTGGCAGGTGTCAACGCATCAAGTAAACTTAGACAGAAGCCAGCTCCCATTCTGTTGCCAGCAGCTGGGCTCCCTGCACTGGCCTGGCGGGACAGGGCTGGGCTGGGGCTGGTCTTGGAGACAGCCAGGCTGTAGTGGGTGTGCAGCTCGACAGAGCTGCCATGCAGCCAGACAGCTCACTGTAGGCCATGTCATAGCTCATGGTGATTTTCGGAGAGTGGCCGAAACAGGGCCAGATTAATCAGCTATTTTGTTTTTACACCAGGCTTAGAGGCCAGCTGCAGTAATCACTTTGGATGTGTCTGAGGGAGAGGCAGCTTGAACCCTGGATTGGATTCACTTTACATTGGGCTCAGAGGATGCTGGCTTTTTGAAACCAATGTGGCTTGGCTCCCAGGGGAAAGTAGCTTGCCCTGGGGCAACAATCAGCCACTCCATTTTTCTCTGAGGCCCTGAGCAAGTTGTAAAGTAGCATCACCAACACAGGTGAATGCTTAAAAACTAGACAAGACACCAGAGGTTAGCAGAGTAGCAGTGGAAAGGAATTTCTGCTGACATAGGCCAGAGTTGTACAGAGTGGGATCCCTGGGCAGTGGGAGGCAGGGGTGTCCAGGCACAAGGATGGGGGTCTGCAGATGGAACACATGGACAAGGCCCTTGGCCGGCACTTCCCTGACAAGTGGAGTTCTACATGGGACCGGGGTCTGGTCTTGTTCCTCTCAGGTGGTGCTGGGGCAGAGGTGCCGATTCTTGGGGGCTCCCTTCCCTCTGCTGTAGAACAGGTGTTGGACCACACTCCTGCTGGGCCCTCGGTCCCCCTCAGAGCCTGCGGGCCTCAGCGTCCCTGGACCCCAGCCACCTCTTTTCGGGAGGGATTGTAAGAAGGTTAAGCCCAGGCTCCATGGACAGATCCTCGGGTGCCTACACTGCCATTTCCTGGCTTAGTTGTTAGCCCATACCTCGCCAAGGGCATGACGCAAAGACCTCCCGGCAGGAAAGAAGTCAGAGACATGCCCCTGCACACCCTGCTCACAAGGTGCAACAACACAGTGCTTGGAGAAGGTCTTGCTGTGCGCGTGCATGTGTGTGTGTGTGTAAAGTCTCATCCATTTGAACTTCGACTACTTTGGTTTGCTGTAAATTTAAACAGGATAAATAGTTAATGAATAAACAAAAACATGTACTGACCCTTTAAGACACGCAGTGGCACAGGGAGGAAAATGAGAAAATGCTAGAAATAAGCAATGTTAGGTTTCCTAGGCTGAAGATGAATGGGGCCGCTGCACGTTATGCAAGGCCACATGAGTGCAGGCAGGAGGGACAGTGAGAGTGACAGAGCGATACAGCGGCATGGCGCCACCCTGGGGTGAGTCAGTCGCTGAGGAGCGGGTGTGGGGACCTCACCTGTCTGCTGTCATTTTCTCGGCAGCCCTGCAGCTTTATAAGAGAGCCAGGCGCCCTGTCAACCACAGTAAGGCACAGGTCCATGTGCTTCACCGACTTCTCCTTTGTCAAAGCCCATTCCTGGAAAACAGAACGGCAGGTCAGGGGCAGGCCATGCAGCAGCTGCAAAGTCAATGAAATGGAGTCAGTGGAGGGCCTGGAAGGGAAATGGAGCATCTTGTGGGAACCAAGACTCAGAATCTGAGAGCCATGACTCTGCCTAGGGGCTGAACCCCTAACTGGGACATGCCCAGCACCTCAAGATTAGGTGCTCATTTGGCCAACGGATGTGTGGATGTGCACTTGGAGCCTCCATCATGAAGATGAATAGTATCAACTATTCTAGCCCCAAATGCAAGTTATTTTCTATCAGTAAACCTGAGTTGTAACAACTATAACTCAAGCTTGGGTTATATACAACTGTTTCACCAGCACTATTCTAGAAGGACTGCCCCATGCAGGTGCGTCTGAGAAAGGGTTAATCGAACTGTGATGTGTAAAAACGGAAGATGATGAGCTAAGTATCTAAGCAAAAATAGTGAGTTGAGTTCTAACTTGATTCATTGATGTTTACAACGTTCTCTGAAACACAGGAGGGAAGGATCTACGTACTTGTGCCCACGACACAGCTAGATGTAGCTAAGAGCTCACTATGTAGTGTAAAGTGCTATCACAGCCCTTTATTCAACGTCCCCCTGGGCCTATTATTCTTTTTCTCATTTTACAAGTGAGAAGACAGAGCCAGAGAGCGTTTAAATAACTTTGCCCATGATTTTTAAACATGACTTATTTATTTATTTAAAAAGCATAGAAAGTTCCCATCTGCTGGCTTACTGGCTAAATGCCTGCAAGCACTGGAACTGGGCCACTCTGCAGCTGGGGGCTGGAACACTCAATCTAGTTCACCAGTGTAAGTGACAGGAAATCAAGGATGTGAGGCACCACCAGTGCCTCTTACGTCTGCGTAAGCAGAAAGCCTTAACCTGGACTGGAACCCAGACACTCCGCCATGGGCCTTGGCAGTCTTAACCTGTGTCCTAAGCCCTGCCCTGAACACCCACCCACCCACGATTTTAAAAAATACAAACATATGTGTTTTAGAGTACATGTGTACATGAACACAGAGGTCACAGGCTGAGGTGGGCTGGAAAGAATGCTAACCATGATCATCTGAAAGGGCAGAAGCTGAGAACAGAGAAGGGTGAACATGGCCCCGGAGCCCTCCCCATCCCTGTCAGAGTCACAGCAGCTACAGGAAGGAGAGCCACCCATCACTCAGTGGACTAGATGGAATTGAAAGGAGAAAGCCCCTCAGGGATCACAGCAAGGCCCCCTCCCACTCAGCATCCCGCAGTGCCATGCCAGATAACCCTAGGGCCCTGTCTGCTCCAAGCCCACGCAGCAGGCTCCCCCAACTCCTCCCATCCAGTTATCCACCTGCAGGACTCAGGTACGTGGTGAGTACTGGGCTCACCCTCCAGAGGAGAACAGAATGACACACTAACTATCCTGTCATTTTAGGTTCTGTCAAGTATGATGAATACACGGCTTTTCTTTTTTTATTTTTCCTATTCTCAGGAGATGCAGGCAAGGCAAGAGAAGAAGTTATCTTTAAAGAAGTCTCCATGTTTAATAATATTTAAATCACTCAGATCACACAACTTATTAAGAGACATGGGGTCTGGACCGCATGCAGCCATTCCTGTGTGCGCCACACTGCCCTGGCTCTCGCAGGGGGAGCAGGCACCACCACGGCTGCTGGGCCTGCCTGCAGGCTGCCTCCTTCACGAGCAGAGTGGTGGTGTTATCATGCCACAGCAGGCTCTCTGGGCATCGGTAGGCACGGAGCATCCCTTATGTTGCATGACAGTGACGGAGGAACAAACATGCAGCTGTTCCCCACCAGTGCTTCCTGGTACAGGTACAAATACCCTTGTCACTTTCCAAGCCACACAGATGCTAGGTACACCTTTTGTTCTAGTACTTGGCCTTGGCCCTTGGCTCCTGGCTCCTGGCTCCTGACAACTAGGCTCCCAATCCCTGGAGACATCCTTCACCACAACAGCATCTGCTGTTGCAATCAGAGGCATCTGGGTGGGGGCTGCTTGCTCGATGGACCAAGTAAGTCACCATTAGAAGCTTAGAACAAGAAGCAATTAGAAGCTCTGCGCCCATTGCCCAGGAATGAGAGAGGAGTCAGAGACTGGGTTAATGACAAGTTATACCTGTGGTGAGGAGCCATCGCATGCGTGTTTGAGTGATGGAGTTCGGGAAGCTTCTGAGAGGGTGGTACCCCCCAAGAGACATAAATGCTCTTCTATACCAACCCTTTCACTGTGCCTGATGCCTTACTCATCTTTCCAACCCTGGTAAGCACTTTGTCTCCTGTGAGCTGGTCTCCCAAATGATGAGGTTTGAGGGGGCAGGTATTGAAGCACAAGCAACAACCTAAACTTGAGCTTGGTACTGGAAGTGGAAGGTGGGGCTGTTAATGTGTGTGTGTTGGGGAGTAACAGGGGGAAGGTCTCGATGTAAAACTGAGCCTGTATGCCATGTGTCTGAATGAACTCAGAGCAGGCAACATTGGAACTGAATTAAACCATGGGGCACCTAGAAGGTACATGCAGGTGCTGAGGCTGTGAAACACACACATAGCCCACGGCATGTGTCAGATGTACATGCGAGAGTACACAGGGTATGTCTGGCCTTGGCTGTGCTGGGGAGCTTGATTACAGAGCGGAAGTCATGTGCGCCTCCATGCACAGGGCCCGCTATCTGGAGGCTGAGGTCCAGGCAGACACACATCCCTAGCTTCCACATCCCAACACAGGGGTCGACCACACCTGCAGTACGAGCAGACAGCGGCATGTGGAGGGGCCCCATCATGGCTGAGAGGAGCTCTGGGTGGGATACCTTTAGCATGGTATGGGGTCTGGGATTCCCCCAGGAAGCAGGTGCTAGAAGATATGGGAAGGTTTGTTGATACAGAGTAAAAAGACTGTGCCTGAATGTTCTGTGGCTTCCTTACTATTGTGTGCTTAATTATTTTAAGGCAGACTTTTCAGTAAAATCCAGAAAAACTAATTCAGCTCTGCAAACAACAGAATTCATTTTGTTCTTCTGTTGCATTTCAATTATCTGAATTTCCAAATACGGTTCATAAATATTTAAGAAATGCTTTTTTGAGTTGCCACTCTCAAAAAAAAAAAAACAATAACAAAACAAAACAAAAAACAAACCCCACGGTCATTAATTTCCCATTTCTCATGTGTCTGCTGAGGCTCAGCTGGAAGCCATGGACCTCACTCTCCCAGAGTGCCGTGCCCAATCTGCAGTGAAGAAATCTCTGCCTTCTTAGGTTTTATGTGTGTGAGACACACTACCCTAAAATACACCACAGCCACATTCCGTTCGCTCCCAGGGTGGGTACTGGCTTGGATGGGCTCATGAGTAGGACCAACCACTCAGCAGCACGCGAGCTCTCTGTCCTCCATCGCCTGTAGACAGTACCGGCAGGCTAGCTACCAGCCACGTGTGCTGGTTTACATTCAAAGAGCTGGACTGAAAATTTAATTTGAGGTAATCACAGGTCAGGTGCTCAATGGCCACACGCGGCCAATGGCTACAGAGCCAGCACAGATCTAAAACATTTGCTTCACAGTCTGTTGACCCATTGGACAACACTGAGCTGGAAGGAGCTTGTTGGCCTCAGGCTGGAGCCTGGGAAAGGTGTGTCCCAGGGGAGTGGGTAAGGCTTTTTACATCATCACACAGCCTCATGTCCCATCTGCTGATGCGTTCATCTCATTTAGATTCACTCCGGCACATTCAGAGACCTGCACTCTCCTGGCCTGAAGTGGGTTGTTGTCAGGCTTCCTGAGCCAGGTAGCTGGTGTTAGGACTTTGTTCCAGATCCCTGGGTGAGGCCAGTGTGTGGGCCCCAGAGAGCACTGAGAGAGGCAAGGACAGATGGGGCCATGCTCAGCACATGGGCTGAACAGCACAGCAGAGACCGTGGGGAGAGAGGTGATGGCCATGCAACAACCAAAGGAAAAGCCACATGGGGGCAGTACTTGGGGGCACAGGTCTTCTGCTTCCTTCAGAAGAGCACATTCGAGGGGCAGCCAGTCCTGACACTGGCTCAATTCACAGTGCTCAATCAGAATGACTATTGCTTACTGTCCAAACAGGACTCCTCAAATGACACAGGGGGCAATAGGAGGGAACTGGAAATGTGTTGGGAGATGGGGCTGTGTGGTTATCCTACTAGGGTCAATAGAGAGGGATGCCCAGAGACCTGCTGAGCTGACAGGTGCCAGGAGCCAGGCCACAGCCTGGAGATGGGACATAAGCTCTGTTTTCAGCAGGGAGGGCAGAGGAATCTCTATGTCCAGCTAGTGAGTAGCTCTCCAGGGCCTGGGCTCGTGTGCCACCAGCTGAAAAAAGATGTGACATGAGCAGGAGCAAGAAAAAAAGCTCCCAAATGTAGACAGTACAGATTTGGGGCCGATGGTCTCCCATTTTGTAATCCGATGTAAGTGCCACCCAGTCCCATATGCATTACCCAGACCTCTGTTTTTGGCACAATCTGGACTAGTGCTGTGCAAACAAACCCAGAAGCAATGTCTGACTCAGGTGGGACTCTGCTTCTGGAGACTTGGTCCTCTGCCTCGCAGATCTCTGCTTTCCTGAGGGTGTGTCTGTGTTACAACAGGCTTGCAGTTACCTGCTGTGTCTGCCTGAGTTGTTTGGTCAAATATCTATGATTATCTGGTGAGAAAACTGCCTTTAGAACACAAAAATAAATCAGGGCTGGACCCATCACACTTTGGTTTATGCATCTCCTTTAGAGTATGGGCAGAATGTGGTAGATTTTTATGCCTCTAGAGAAAGGTGTGTGTCTGTACGTGTGTAACTAAGGCAGCCAACAATGAACAGTTTATACTTTTGGGTACCATGACCTAACAAGAAGAAGGGGACAACTGTGATAATAGCATAAGTACCTACTAAGGAGGGACGCTAGACAGGCAGGTGCATCACACTAAAGTCCAGACAGAGACACAGTGGGCAGAGGTGGTGCGTGATTTCAGGGTAAGCACGCGGCAGGACAAAGCGAACTGGCAGATGGTCCGGGAGGATCAGACTGGGTCCACCAGCATGGCCTGCATGCTGGGGGGAGCAACAGACACTAATCCCACCTCTGACTGGAGCACCCTTGCCCCTGTGGTATTGTCTGGCTGAGTGATGTCACCTTTGATGTGTCAGTCAAAGACCCACGATATCCCATAGCCCCTGCCAAAGAGGCTCTGACCAGCAGGAGCCCAGTGCTTCCTTGCAGATACTTCTTCCTCCCAGGGGACAGGTGGCAGCCAGGCCTCTGAACTCCAGGATCTCTCCCCAGTCTGTGCTCACTCTCGGCCTGCAGGTGCTCAGGCTCACCCCGACACATACCTGGTTCCCCCCAGCATTGTGACACTCATAGACTCCAACGACACCATCGGCAAAGTGTCCTAACGTGTCCAGGCAGTTGGTTCCTTGTTGCAAGGCTCCAAATGCTATATCCTGATGGTCCGGGACCCTGGGAGGCAAGGTGAGAATGCTGAGTTGTTCTGTATGACGCCATGCTTCCGCCCACTCTCCTCCTGGCTCAGTGGCTCCTGCCTGGGCAGCAGGAAGGGCATGGAGGCGGCCAGCTGCCAGGGACTCTGCCCTACTGCTGCAGGCTGCCTCAGGGGCACGGCCCGGCTAGGAGCCTCTGGGTTGCTAACTCTAAGACTGCACAAAGGACTGTTCCAGGAGAGCTTTCATGGGAAGGCAAAGTCCCTGATACAATTCAGTGCTGGTCGATTAGATGTCATGCAAGATTAGGGTGAAAATGACCCTGGGCAGACCCTGTCCGCGGGCACTTTAAGGCAGACATAGGCCCTGACTTACAGGAGTGACCTGCTGTCAGAGGGTGAGGGAAATGTGGCTCTTAGTGAGACCTGCCCCTTGGTCCTAAGCCCCATCACCACGCTCCCGTGTGTGTGCTTTTTCCAGATGTGACCCACTCTCTCTGCACCTTAGCAGGCCCAAGCAGACAGGTGTGCAGTAGCAGGGAATCAGGCTCCTGGCCTGCATGGGTTTGCTCAAGGAAATGGAGGGTATGATCACAGACAATAAAGGCATACAGGTAGGGGGCCCATATCCCATATGGGTGCCAGTTTGAATCCTGGCTACTACACTTCTAATCCAGCCCTCTGCTAGTAAGCTTTGGAGAGCAGCCCAAGATGACTCAGGTGCTTGGGCCCTTGCACCCATGTGGGAGACCTGGGAGAAGCTCCTGGGTCTGGGCTGGTGTAGTCTGGCCTTGTGGCCATTTGGAGAATCAAACCAATGGATGGAAGATCTCTCTGAAGCTCTGCCTTGCCAATAAGTAATAAATCTAAAAATCTAAAAAAAAAAAAAAAAAAAAATTAAACACAGGAACGCACAGAACCTCCTGTGGCCAGGGAAAGCAGCTATGTCGGCTGGTTGGGTGCTGAGTGCCTCTGATGCAGGTGCGGGCAGCAGTGCCAGTCCCATTCAGTGAGACACTGTGGTTTCTGTGTCACTCCCATCCACCAGGTTGTAGGTGATCACAATAGCAACAGCAAAATGAGAGGCATGATGGGGATAAAACCCTCTGCTCTGGGTGGCAGCACCATGGCAAAGCAGATTAAGGCTCTGCCCACAACGCCAGCACTCCACATGGGTGCCAGCTTGAGTCCCAGCTGCTCCACTTCCTATTCACCTCTCTACTAATATGCTTGAGAAAGGAGTCCCCTGCACCCCTTGGGGGGACCTGGAAGAAGCTCCAGGCTTTTGGCTTCAAATGGTTGCTCTGGGCCATTTGGAAAGTGATCTAGCAGATGGAAAAGCTCTCTCTCATCCTCTTGTAACTCTGCCTTTCACATTAAAATAAATAATTATCTAAAAAAACAATTTAAAAAAACCACAGTGTGGCAAAGCCCCTCTCTGAAGTGGTGGTGGGGGCGAGGATGGGGGTTTCCTGCCAGTAACTGTCACTGTCTTTAACCCCCACCAAGAGCCAGGCTTCACTGGCGGGTAGGGAAGCAGACAGGAAGTCCTCCCCTCTCATCCTGGGGAACACAGGCTGCCATGTCTGTTCCTTTCAAAACCGTGGAGATGGTGTGCCTTACCACTTCTCAAACAAACCTCCCTGATGGTGACACTGGAGGAGCCGTTAGCATGGCGATCATGGCAGTGAGTTGGGCACTCAGAGCACCCCATGCTGTTGGTAATGGCAGCCACTGAGAATGTTCAGGGAATATTCCAAGTAAGAAATGAGCCACATTAGGTAAGGCCCCATCTGTCTGACAGCCCCTTTAAGAAGATGTAGCTCTGAGGGTGCCTGCCTGCCTGCAGACCTACATGTGTTCTGACTGGGTGATGGGTGTTCTGGTGGGATGGGGAGTTTGTGCTAGCTGAAAGCAAGGCCCCGGGCAAAATTAAGGCTCCAATGAGGATTTCTGCCATCATCAATCCCAACGCCAGAGGGAAGCGGGCAGAGCATAGCCCTGGGGGCGCACCTGATGCCCAGTGGGCCCACGGAAGGCATGGCTGTGCAATGTGCTTGGAGGCAGCAGACACGACTGTGGCTATGTTAGTTACTCTCTGTCTGCAGTCCTCCTGCCAGCCCTAACCCCTCCATCTCCTGAGGTTCTTTTTTAAGGCATGCGGAACCACAAGGGTAAGGACCCCAGCAGAGGGACTTTCTCAGAGAAGCATAGGGTCAGCCATGGGGTGAGGGTGTGAACCCTGGGGCACCAGTCCTGGCTCCAGGCCTGGTGCTGGAATTTCAACCTTCCTTCCACCTCTCCAGGCCCCCACCCCTCCCTAATCTTGCCTTTCTAAGCTCTTGCATGGCTCAACTCGGGGTCCCTGGGGACTTACCGCAATTCCGGATAGACATTTTCAAGGTACCACTTGAAAGGCTTGCAGCTAAGTTTCTTCCGAAGCTCCAATCTGCTCTGAATACTGCAGAAAGACAGGGTTGGGGGAAAGCGGCCTTTATAAATTGTAGGAACAAATAGGCTCTTTCCAGCAAATATGCAAATCCACTGAGAACAGGATTGGGAGCAGGGAGAGTGTTGACTGTCCAGACTCGGAACCTGGCAACCCCTCTGGGGCCTTGAGCAGGGCCACGGGATGGTTGGCATCAGCTGTCTTCAGAACTGGCCATGGGGATCCCCCACATTGGGCGTGAGAATGCTGAGGTACTTACTTCCCATAGGGCACGTTTCTGGCGGAAGGCACAGCTGCGTAGTAGAAATTTTTGTATTCATCCATCCAGACTTCTGCTGCGCGCCGGGTGTTACTAGAAACAAAATCAGTCTGGAGGTGTGAGTTGCCTTCTTTTGTCAGCACCACCCTGGGGTGCACCTGTCTGAGAGGAGTCTGACCAAGGAAGGCACCTGGAGGCACAGAGCCTCCTCCCTGTCCCTTACCCCTCCAGCTGGGGTTCTGGACAGCCAGTTACTGACCAATAGGATGGCAGTCTTGGCTCTTTCAGACTATCAATAAGCAGAAGTCTAGGTTAGGACCACAGTACAGGCAGGATTTCCAAAGAAGGGACTGGGATTGCATCACACAAGAGGACAGAACATGACTAGGGGAATTCGCATTGTTCTGTGGACTAGTCTTGGTCCCCACGGTCTTTCTCAGCATGGGCATGACTCTAAGACAGCCACACAGCTCTCAGACAAGAGCTGCTACTCAAATTGCTTTCTCTTCTGCAGCCCTGACCTCTGAGATCAGGAATAGTGGCAGAAGGGGCTAGGCACCTCACAGCCCACATCTGGGCTTCCTGCTGCTTGAGGGCACGGTCGGGCAGGGGTCCCCATGGTTCCACGACTATGAATAGGGCCCTTAGGACCTGTTACTTTTCAATGCCTGATGTACTTAACGGCTACCACAGGGGGACCCACCAGTGGCCCATCCTGCCAACAGATCCTTATAAAGCACCTGTGACACAGCCGTTAACACAGCGAAGCCCTCTGCTCTCACAGCCCGAGCCCACTTCCGAGGCAGGCCTACAGCGAGTCCTCCTTAGAAGCCAAGCATGGGGCATGCTGTCCTTCCAAAACACACACAGTTAGGAGGCAATGCTCCCCCTTCCCTCCAGGGACGGCTTCTAAACGGTGGCCATTCATACGACCTGAGCTAAACGCCAGCAAAATTTCTGTGATGTGCTGCTGTATCTTGTCCCTCCTAATGAAGCAGAAGATAGATGGCCAGTTCAGAATACCACTGAGGAGACTCCCGGGACAACATACATGCGCACACCTATGCTTGGAGCCGAGATTTACCTACAGCAGATAATCCACCAGGACTGATACTTATGTGAAATCATGCTCCCTGCAGCACTGTTTATAATGGCAAGGAAGGAAACATTAGGTACATTATGGGGCCAAATACAGGCAGGTGATCAAATCAGTGGGCTTCATGTGAGCTCAGAGGGCATGAAACATGCAGGTGCACTTCTCAGGATGCCCTTGACTTGACACTGCACGGAAACACAGCAGGCTATGCAGCAGCACCCAGGGACACGTGTGTGGGGGGAAGGGAGTGAGAGAGTCAATTCTAAGAGTGCTAAGGTACAGTGTGGTGTAACAATGAGATGGGTCATTCCTGACTTTTTCTGAAAACATACATAAATGTTAACAGTGAGTACCTTAAGTGCTGGGAGAAGCTGGTGCCTAAGTATCATTTCCACGAAGAGCCACTAAAGAGTCCTAGAAGCGTTCTGGGGTCTTGCTTAGTGACCTCTCCCTTGAACCTGACCTACGCTTGCTGGAGGTATGACATGAGCCCTACGCCTTCCCAATTGCTTCATCAGGAGGAAGAAAGGAGTCCATTCAAGGATATTGTTCCACATCCCTTGCAGCCCTAACAGTTTAAAGGGTTTATGAATTCCAATCACATAATGTTTTTAAATTGCTTACATTCTTAAATGAGGGAGACATTTCTTAATTAATGACTAACTGCAAGGTAACCTTTCCTGTCTACTGAGCAGAGAAATTTGGTCAAGGTAGCCTCAAATCCTCAGCCCCCTGGGCCTGCTGGTGCTGGTTTCACTTGTCCACTCACTGACTGCGGAAAGAACCTGATACCCATTTTAACCCAGTCTCCTCGATGCGACAACACAGCAACACCTGGAATGCAGCAGGTAATGGCTAAAGTACTATGTAGGGGACCCAGATGGAGTTCCTGGTTCCTGGGTTAGGCTGGGTTCAATCCTGGCTGTCGTGAGCATTTGGGGAGTGAGCCAGCGGACAGAAGAGGCCACTCTTTCTGTTTCTCCCTCTCCTTGTCATTCTGCCTTTCAAATTAACCAGTATTTTTTTTTTTTTTAAATATTAAACCATAGCTACTGCAACAGTATCCAGAGGTCCTTCTGGCCGAAACATACACACCACTCTAGCATGCGGTCATCTCCCATCATCTCCACCCAGCACTTAGTACGACCTTTCTGAAGCTATTAAGTAGAGAATTCAGGCCCTTGCTTAAAACCCTCAATGGCTTCCCTGTGTCATCAAAACAATCAACATTTCCTAAGACTTTCAGGGTAAAGGGCTTGGCCTGCCTAGCTCTCCCACACCCATGTCCACTGTCCCTTCATTCCCTCAGCTCCTGCCACCTCGCTTCCTTCTGGTTCTTGGATGTGCACGTGCCAACCACTCCCTGATGTCCACAGCCTGGACCTACCTCTCCTACAGGGAGCCTCCCCGCCTTGCTCTCCCAGCTCACGTGCCCTGTCCTCCACAGGCCCCTTCCCACGCTCTCCTCCCTCCCGGTCCAGAGCACCCTTGACCTTATGGGCTGTGGAGGCTCGACCTCAGAGCATTCCTTCTGCTGTGAGCTTTGCCACCCACCGCCAGAAGGGAATCACCTGGGGCCCGGCCTATGCACTAATCTACTTTTAGCACCCACAGGAATTCCCTAGGGCGCAAAACCCTGATGTGACAGAATGGCCATTTGTCATTCTTCAGAAAGCTCGCCATGTTTACTAAAATGTTCCTGATTCCTGCCATGAATTATATCCATACATTTTTTATGTGACTTTAGTTTTTTCTGTATTTAAATGCTGAAGCATATTTAAATGTTGAAATTCATGCTGCATTTAACTGTCACGATAACAAAGCACCAGTATTACTTTTTTATTTAGTTTTAAAGATTTACATACTTTTATTGGAAAGACAGATATACAGAGAGAAGGAGAGACAATGGAAGATCTTCCAACTGCTGATTCACTCCCTAAATGGCTATAATGACCAGAATTGAGCTGATAAAAGGCAAGAGCCAGGAGCTTCTTCCGGGTCTCCCATGTGGGTGCAGGGTCCTAAGGCTGTGGGCCATCCTCCACTGCTTTCCCAGGCCACAGCAGGGAGCTGGATGGGAAATGGAGAAGCTGGAATATAAACTGGTGTCCATATGAGATCCTAGTGCTTGCAGGGAAGAGAATTAGCCAATTGAGTCATCACACAGGACCAAAGCTCTAGTTTGAAAAGGCAATAAGGCATAGGGGTGCTACTCTCACAGAGAGCAAAGGTGTGTATTACAGAGGGCAAGCTAGCCACCTCTTGCCCTCTCTCACGCTGTGTAAGCCTTTCTGCTGTAGCAAGTGCAGCAGGAAGGCCCTGACCAGGTGCGGACACCTTTACCTTGGACTTCCCAGGCTCCAGAACTATGCAAATATCTGTTCCTTATACATTACCCATTCTGTGTTGTTCTACTAAAACAGCATAAAATGGAGCAAGGCGGGCCTGGCGTGATAGCATAGTGGTTAAGGTCCTCGCCTTGCACGCGCCGGGATCCTGTATGGTCTCCGGTTCTAATCCCAGCGGCCCTGCTTCCCATCCAGCTCCCTGCTTGGGCCTGGGAAGGAAGTTGAGGATGGCCTTAATCCTTGGGACTCTGCACCCATGTGGGAGACCTGGAGGAGCTCCGGGTTCCTGGCTTCAAACTGGCTCAGCTCCAGCCATTGCAGCCACTTGGGGAGTGAACCATCGGATGGAAGATCTTCCTCTCTGTCTCTCCTCTCTGCATATCTGCCTTTCCAACAAAATTAAATAAATCTTTTTTAAAAATGGAGCAAGGCAATACACTCTTTCATTGTGTCTTGAGTGGTAATACATAAGCTGTTCTTCCTTAACTCCCCAGGGGAACAGTTGATGCTCCCCAGGTGTGGCAGTTAATGCCACAGCCTGTGATACCATTAACCAGCACCCCAGTGGAGTGCCAGTTAAGTGTCTTGGCTGCTCCAGTTCCAATCCAGCTCCCTGCTAATGCACTTGGGAAGGAAGCAGAAGATGGCCCAATATTTGGAGTCACTGCTAGGAATGGCTTCAGCCTGAACTAGCGCCACCTGCTGCGGCCATCTGGAGAGTGAACTGGGGCATGGAAGATCTCTGCCTCAAATACATCAATCTTATTTTCTCGTAAGACAGTAAGGACATTCAGTCCTGGGGGCATTCACATGTGAAAGTGTGAGTCTCTGCACACACTACCCCAAGCAGCAGACAGCAGTGCAGCCCCGCACACATGCAGGGACTGCTCCTCTCCAGTCAGTATCCCCAACCCACCTCGGCTACCGCTGAGCTGTTCACCAGCACAAGGTCCGGAATGTGGCTGCACCACCCGCTGTATATCAACACTTCCTCCCCTTGAGTGCTGACTAGAATCTGCTGTACACCTGTCTCAGCAGCAAACTGTTTCGTTCTAATCCCTGCTCATCCCCTAACTACTTACCGTGCAAAGACGGTGCCGCTGCCGCCTGGGAACGTGTAGGGGTGCTGCTTCCGGAACACGTGTCCCACGCGGCTGCACGGGATGATCTCCAGGCTGCCACCACACTGCCACACGCGGAACGAGATCTCTGGGACAGGGAAGGAGACACAAGTGACCCATGGGGTCTGGAGGGAGTGGTTCCGCACCAGTACACGTCCCAGCAGCACAGAAGCTTCCCGACCACCTGGTGGGGACCTGCCGGGGAACCACCTCCTTCTAGAACATGCTCCAGAACTTTCCACATGTTTGGCATACCTTGGCTCTTTAGACTAACACAGACCTCCCCCCATAGGAGTTAATAAATCTAAAGTGTCTCTTGTTTCAAATGCTGAAGTTACTCCACCTAAAGCACATGAATCACTAAAAACCCTAACAGCATCCCACATGAAACTGGTGTGGGACCCCTTTTCGGTTTCTCTTACATCCCTGAACGGTAGAAAAATAACAGGCTGGCCCTTTCATTTGAGGCCAACAAAAACAACAGCAGTCTCATCACCTTTCTTGTCTTTCCTCCCAGGTCCACCCCAACGTTCAGGGTCACTGAAAAACGTCCAACAGTCGGGAGAAGTGGCTCGGGCCTTGGAGCACTTGAAATGAAAGGTTTCCCATGGAACAAGCAGGACAAAACCACAACCATGGGGAAAAACAACAACAAAAACCCCACGAAGCAAGCAGATAGAACTCAACAGTCCTCTATCAGCACAGACCACCGTCTACAAAATTTCATTCCAATTAAACCCAGTGGAAGGGTGGGGGTGGGTTTAGCAAGTTCATGAGTTATTTTTTAAAATTAAGTCAATCAGTCATTCACAAAAGTAATCAAGAAGGGATTAATGGCCACGCTGCCTGACATCCCGGATGACAAAGCAATCTGTTCCCAGCCTCCCTGGGCTCACATTCCCTCTGCCCAGCTCAGCTACAGACCTGCAGCTCTGCACTCAGACACTCCAGCTGTCAAATGACCTGCAAGTTGGTGACTTCCGTCAAAGACCTTCTCTGTCTTCTGGCATCCTCCGCTCTAACTAAGGTGGACATGGTTTATGTCTTACACAAGGCATTTCCAAACAGGTGCTGTGCACACGCACAGACGTCTGGTGCGAGCATGATACATACCCAGGTTCTCTCCTCCCCACACGTCCATCATCATGTCGTACTTCCCCAGCTCCTCGAAATACAACTTGTCCATCACGAACAGCCCGCCAGCGATCATGGGGGTTCTGGAGGGGTGGAGTGGGTAGGCAGATGAAACGGCAGCATGGTCAGCCAGGGCCAAGCCCCCGCTAACAGCTGACCTTCAGGACAGCTGCAAACAGCCTGGATCCTGACCCTGAGCCCTGGGCTCCTCTCAGCTTCACCACCACGGCCTTCACTGTCTCCTTGCTGGCTCTGCCTGAACAATCCCATGGTGCCAGGGGCTAGACTGAACATCTCTCGGCAGGGCCACATTGCATAGGCTGGGAACTCTTTGGTGACAAGCCACCCCACACAAGGCCCTCTCCTGCCTTTCTGTGCCTCTGTTTCCCTTACAGAGTAACTGAAAGCACTATAAGAAGCAACACTGAGAGCACCTAGCAAGCTCAGGGAGCACTTGAAATGTCAGCTCCAATTGTCACGGTCATGGGTCCACCTTCTTTTGTGTAAGGGAGGACCCAGTCCTGGGGAGTGGCTCACGGCTCACATAGTCCCCTCTCCTCGCAACTTGGATCCCGGTAGGCTGTTGGAAATGTCTGCTGCAGCTGTACTGGGTATTAGTTTCCAGTCTGGTGCTCCATAGAGACTACCTCACTGAACCGGGTGTCCCCTGTGCTCTCCTGGCCCAGAGAAAGTTTCTGATTCCCACCCTGAATCCTCTGCACATCCCGGAAGTCTCAGGGCACAAGGGGAGTTGACATCTGCTGCCAGGAGTGGGGGTGGAGAGAGAGGTGAGACAAGGAACAGGTGGCAGCAGCAGGACTCATGCCAACCCCCCATCCTCTCCTATGGGGGTTCCTGAGACCCCTCTCTGCTACAGAAGCTCTTCTACATCCTAAACATAAAGCCACGTACGGAACGGACAGATCTACCTTAGGAATATTTGCCAAACTTCACCTGAGAAAAAGAAACCTCAGAGGACCTTACGTCTACGCTCTCAAGGTACTTGTTCCTTGGGCAAAGATGAGGGGAGAGAGGAGGGCAGAGGGTGAAGGGCCTGCCCAGCTCTCCAGGTAACATAGGCCCCAGTAGGGGAGCCAGAGCAAGAGGATGGGGTCTCACCTGTAAGGGGCACCCCGAGGGTCAGCTGGCACTTACTTTATGGGGGCAACGGGGTTTCCTTGCCGGGACCTTCTCTGCTCAGGCGTCATGTAATCCCATTTGAACACCAAGTTCCAATCGAAACCTGCCGGCCAGGAAGAAACACAGAGGCTGATTGTTCCTGCTACCCCATCCTGCACAGGTGACAAACACGTGACATTTGGGTTAGGCTGAGTGGACACCAGAAGGAAACTGAGAAATGAAGAGGATGATGTGGGCCCCGAGGGTGCTGCTGTGGGTTGGGGACTAGAGGGCAGAGCGTGCACTGTAGTCTTCTCCTGCCACTCCTTTTCTCATCTCCAAAGGTGCGAGCTGAAATGCACAGTGCATAGAGTGCTGTGGTCGGTGTGGCAAGACCACTGCCTGTCGACTGGTAGCACTCTCCCAGGCTGCCCCACGATGAGAACACAGAGGAGGGCACAGGGACTGTGGGTCTGCAAACTCGAACTTGATTGCTAGAAAACCTGTATTTGTAGCAAGAACAGACTGGGGACAAGACACAGATGTGTGACAATTTTCAGGTGAAAAAACCGGAGGAAGTCACAGAATTACGCCAACAGCCATGTGACACCTATATTACTTCCTTTTTACAATCCACTGACCACACTGGGTGAAAGAACATGACTTGTGACCTGCATGTGGTTTCGGGCACCAGGCAGGGCCCAGGGGTGAGGACTCCCTCACAGGGACCTGGACGCATGCCGAGGCCGGCCCACCTGCTGCAGCACTCCAGGTGCGACAGCAGACGTCCTGGGAACACTTGTGGTTCCTGCTTTCCCAATTGCAAGGGTCTGAGAGCCAAGCTTGATTACTCCAGGGCCCTCTACCTCCCAATCTTACACCACACGTCAGCTCAACAGCGCTCTGGCTTGCTCTCTCTCTTTCTCCCCCAGTGCCATGTCTGGATTTCTTATCTTCTCGTTTTAAATGGCCGCCATGCCGGCCCTTCTATCCAGTTAGGCATGTTGAACCAAAGCTTTGGAATATAAAGATCTTTCTGCTTTCTCACAATAGAGTGGAGCAGGCTCCAGCAAGAGGAGCAGGAGCAGCTGGGGCCCAAACACACCAGGAAATCTTGCTGCAGGTTCTCCCAATTCTCTCTGGAGTCAGGCAGTCTGCCTGAAACACACTGAGTGCAAACCAGAAGGGCAATTTCTGAGTTATTGCATGTACAGAGAATAAAGTAGTCAACAACATATCATTACCTTTTTAAAAAATGTTCGTTATTTTTGCCTTTGTGTGTGTGTGTGTGTGTGTGTGTGCATGTGAATTTGTACCAAAGAGTTCAGCTACACTAGATAGAAGGGCTATTTGGAATGGCATCCCTGATTTTTCTTTTCAAACACAACTTCACACAATGTTCTCTAGGATTGAATCTGGTCATTCAGACCCAGTACAAGGCTGGCATTCCTCCCTCGCCCTCCAAGGGCTGTGCTATCCTCGACAGCCACCCAGGAAGAGTTACAGCCCATCAGATCTCGGCTCCTCCAAACCCTCAGGGGAGCGAGATGCTCGGAGCACTGATGCTGCCCGCTATCGAAGGGATGTTCCCTGAAGCTTTAAAGTGCAAACACTGTACTTCTTACTGTCGCCTACGAATCTTCCCTTAAGTTTGTTTTTCCAAATTTGAATGTACCCCTGTCGCCTGGAGAGGCCCCTGGGAAGGCTTGCTGCTTTGTCACTGCCAGCTGCAGCCAATGCTGAGGTGATGTTGTCCTCACACCTGCTAGCCTGAATCCCTGAACAAGCTGAAGAGGCTGGCGTAGTTATCAGGGCATTGCTCACTGATGACGCTGAAGAGCAGAGGAAAATGGCCCACTTGTCACAACAAGGCCCAGGGAAGGCAGGCAGGGCCACGTCCAGTCTCTAAGCAGTACCAACACCTGTTTTCTCAGGAGTTGGGGTCTAATTTAAAATTTTTTAAGATTTTTAATTGAGGTGAGACTCTGCTGCAATGGATTGGGCTATTGCTTCGAACACCTGCATCCCACCCAAATCCCAAATCTTTCATATTTAAAAAAGATTTATTTATTTTTATTGCAAAGTCAGATATACAGAGACGGGGAGAGACAGAGAGGAAGATCTTCTGTCCAATGATTCACTCCCCAAGTGACCGCAATGGCCGGTGTTGCACCAATCCGAAGCCAGGAGCAAGGAGCTCTTCTGGGTTTCCCACATGGGTACAGGGTCCTAAGGCTTTGGGCTGTCCTCGACTGCTTTCCCAGGCCACAATCAGGGAGCTGGATGGGAAGCAGGGCCGCCGGGATTAGAACCAGTGACTATTATGGGAACCTGGCATTCAAGGTAAGGACTAGCTGCTAGGCCACCATGCCAGCCTCCAAATATTTTATTTCGAATCCAACTTCCTGCCTTTCCAATGAATGAATGGAGAAATCTGTCAGTTGTCCCTCTAAGGTAACTATCTGAAATAATCCATTCTCTTCTGATCAACTAAGGATGTTGGGGGGAGGGTGCCATAGAGGGTATCAATGAAGACATCCCTCATCTTACAGAAAGAAAGTGGGGATGCTGGCCAGCTGGAAAGAGCCTGCTGCTCTCAGGTGTGAAGAATCAATAGGTCTGGGCGAAGCTACCAGGCTACTTCCTAATGAATAAATGACAGACGGCTGAGACAAGGGTTCAGCAGTGGGTCCAGGTGCAGCTGTCAGGCTCACAGGGTGAAGGATGTGTTGACAACCTGTAGAGGAGCTATGTGGTGGCGTAGGTCCAAGATCCCAGACCGCAAGAGAGAGAGCTGCCTGTAGCATAATGCGTCCTTGCACAAAGGGGTGGAGGGACTTCGCTTCCATGAGATCAGCAGTTCTCCAGGCTCAGGTGGGTCTGTGATGCCAAACTCTGCGGACATTTATAGCGAAACCTCCCAGGCCTCCCTGTACCTGCTAGAGTCTCCTGGAGAATGCAGGCTGGCGGACAGTGGGCATGGGCATGGGGCATGCTTGCTCGAGCTTCAGTAAGATTTGGCCTTGACGTCTGAGGCCACAGGAGTAGACAGACGTAGCTCACAAAAACACAAGCTCTTTGAGGCCTTCGATGCTTCTTAAGAGAGGGTAACGAAGTTTTAATCAAATGGCTGTTTGGATTGGGGGGTAGGTGTGAGTGATCACCTGTGGAGGCTGCAAGGACCCCCCAGGACCAGGATAGTCTTTGATACACAAGCTTCCCTCAGGGCAAAGCAAGCAAGCAAAATAAAAGAATGTAGACTCTTTCTCCTAGACTCCTAGCAGGGAGGGCTCTATCATCTCACATCAGAAAGCACGCTCAAATGTTGGCACTGCCACATGGCTCCAAAAGCAACAGAAGGTCAAGGAGGTGGGAGGCAAGCAGGGGACAGGGCATGTGCTGTAAGGAAGGCTGCGAAGTTTCTCTCTTTCTTCTGGTGCAACCCAACTTGATAAACACACAGATGCTCTTTACTCAGAGCACACACTGCCACGGTCGCTCCTGACGATGACAGGTGGCCAGACAGGTGAACTGCAATATACACTTACCGCCCTTCAAGTCAGCCGATGCCCCCACATACTGGAAGTTATCCATGTTAATGACGTCAATGATGGGCGACACGACCCGAGTCCTGTCCTAAGATGAGGATAAAGATGAGGTCAGAATGCTAACCAAGATTTCTGAAGAACCAGCCTGCCTGAAGTCTTCCGTGTCAGGGAGCTACAGGCGGTGCACACCCTCACTGCTGTGCCAAGGCGTACTCTGGCCTCCCCACCCGGCATGCCAAATCCCACAGCTTTCACTCTCACAGGTTCCAAGCTTGGTGGCACTTAATGTCAGTTATTACCGAGGTCTGAGCTGCTGCAAGCCTTAAGAATGAACCCATTGCTAAAATGCAGACATAACTGACCTGGGGACACACTTCTATGGCAAAATGTGAATAGTATTGTGTGTGTGTGTGGAAGGGGGAGGGAGGGAGGGAGAGGGAGAGAGAGAGAGAGAAAATAATATTACAGCAGAAGGTAAATCAAATTAACCCAGAGAATTTCAGATTCTCAGTCTGCCTCAGCTGCAATTCCATCTAAGAAATTTCCTCTCAGACAGAGGTGTTTCATTGTGCTACACTGCCATCCTTCTGGTAAGGTTTTGAGCGTAAAACCTTTTAATGTCTGTGACCTCGTGACATTTGGATGACTGCAGCGGGGAGAGAGACACTGCCAACTGTGCCTCACGCTGACAGTCAACCAAAGAGGAAGCGCTTCCCTTCAGCCCCGTGAAGAACCCTTATTAGCCAGGAGAAGAGACTTGGGGACGCAACTCAGCGGCAGGCTCCGCAGGACTGAGAACACGGCACATAAAGGGAAACATGGAGGGCACATCACAAAGCACCACCACCTTGGGTGGAAGGTCATGGGGAGAGGTGAGCCCAGCTGGTGCCAGGCGCAGGACATCCTCCTGGCTGGGCTCAATGTGGCCTTAAAAGGCTGAGGTCAGGCGCTCCCTAGTTTCAGGGTAGGGTACGAGGGTGGTCCGACAGCATCTATTTGCAGCACTGAGTGCCCTCACCATGATAGTGTGGGCTGGCTTGCTGGCAGAGGGAGAGGTTGGGAGAGGAAGGGGTAAGGATTCCTGGGCAGGTCTTTCATCCCAGCAGGTGTGTGTGTGTGTGTGTGTGGGGAGGGTGTGGTGGGAGGGCATGTGCGGGAGGACTCAGTCAGGAGTGAAAACTGCTTTGCAATCCTGACTCTGCTGCCTGCACTTGTTATGAAAAGTACCCCAGGCCCCAGTTTCCTCATCTAGCACATGAAGGTACAACTTTCAGGAGAGGCGCTGTCTAACAAGCATTTAACTTGCAGTTCCACTTCAATCAAGGGCAGTGAATGTGATTTTCATAATGACTGGTAGCTTGGAGTTATTTGGTGTTTCATGACTTAGTGGCCGTGAGCTCTCCTTGCTATGCTGGAGGCAGAACGAGTTCACTTTCTATGTCTATGATACTTTCATTAAGCTTGCTTTATTGTCCCCAAGAAAGCACTTTCTTAGTGGGAAGGAAGCACAGTCAATAAAACAAGTGAAAGGCAAGAGACATAATAAAAGGCCAAACACGGTATTGGTGGTGATGTTTCCAGAAAGGCAGGAGGGGCAGGGCATGCAGGCAGATGGTCCTCTGACAGTCCCACCTGGTCACTGTGCGGGGGTCGCCCTGAATTCTCCCTAGCAATCTGGAGAGGAGGGAGAGGGGAGGGAATGGAGAGGGTGCCCTGACCTCCTCCTCACCCACTGTGGACTGTGGTGTCCACGCCCCCATCCACTCCGGCAATGTCCTGGCACTTCCACCTCAGACATGAGTGTCACAAAGCAGGAGCTGACTACACAACTGCAGGCAAGGAAGGGGGAGGCTCCTGGGTGTAAGTAAGGGGACTCCCACCTGCCCTCCCCATCTCTGTCTCCTAGCTGCCAACGGATAGCTCCTCCCATGGATAAGATTCCTGCTGCCAAAAGGACACTAAACAAATGCATCAAAGGTATTTTCCTCGTTTTCTGGCATTGAGAAATCCAGCTAGCCAGCTCACACGGCCCCTTCCCTCCCCTCCCAGGCATCCGCCCTTCTGCCGCCTCACCTCTGCCACCCTCTCCAGGAGCGGCTCCAGCCAGTGCTCGTTACACTCACAGTGACTGTCTAGGAAGGTGAGGACCTTGGCTTGGGCTGCATCAGCCCCACGGACCCGGGAGCGCATCAGGCCTGTGGACAGGAGTGTGAAAGCATGTCAGAGCAGAGCCTGGCAGAAGAGAACCACGCCTCTGGCTGATGTACTAAACAATCTACCATCCGACCTTGTGGGCAGGATCAATGGTGCCCCGTGGTCACCAAGGCAATGTCCTATTTGATATATATATATATTCCATTTACTTGGATGATTGGGAAGATGACCTTAGAACTATCCTCTGAGAAAGGCTTCTATGTAATTCAGGTTTCCTTGATGGAGCAACTGAAATGTGCAGTGTCCACAGCCACAGTTTCCAAACTGACTGCGCTGAGGACGGCGTGACCCAGATACTTCCAGGGTGTTGGTGAGAGTTGCAATAGGGCTGTGAACTCTATTACATCTAAGATAAATCATCTAAGATTGATCACAGCCAAATAACCTGGATGTGTGGCTTTTACATAAAATTAATTCATACTACTGATCCTAACTTTCTATATTGCACATATAAACTAACTGTAATTTACATCTTTGTGGTTTGTTAATAATATGCATTTTGCACATAACTTCTATTGCAAATGGTGTGCTTATTTGTGGAAGCTGTGGCTGCAAACGGCTTCTGCTACAAATGCTGGCCTTTGTCGAGATGGTGCAGCTGTTCAGGACCAGTGACAACCTATGAGTCACCTTCTTTCTGTACAGTCAAAGAGGATTCTCAGTGAGTCTTGCAGAGCAGGGAGAAAATGCAAGATTCCTAAATCTGGAAACTGTAAAGTAGCTGGTTTTAAGTAAAACCCTTGCTCTGACAACAATGGTAAACATTAAGTAAAATACAAAAAGAAAGAAGAAAAACCAAAAACCTGAAAGAGTTGTTGAGAAGCCTGAAGCATCCAAAAACTAGAGGGTAGGATTTAGCCTTTTAAGGACAAAAATCCCATGCAGTGAGAAGTGTGTCTACATGCTGTTGCCCCAAAGTCATTCTCCAATCCACTGCACAGCAGCCTTTGTGGCGCGGGGTCAGAGGTCAGAGTTTAGAGCTTCTAGAGTGGCTAGGAACCGGAAGACGTGATCCTGCAGCGGCAGCAAGCCCCAAGTCTGTGGAAACCTCTTACTGCCCTGGCTGACTCCTACGCCATGCACATTCTCTAAGGAGTCCATGAAGAAAACAGCGGGGAGAAGACAGAAAGGACCAAGCCAATAGCTATTCCCCGGTGCATGGAGAGTACAGAATGTCACCACTGCCAAGCTAAGAGAGTTGGGCAATCATGTCAGTTCTACAGAAACTCCAGAAGGACCACAAGGAGCAAAAAGAGTATGTATCGGGAATACAGACACACTTAACACAGCAAAGTAAAAAAACAAGCCTACAGAAGCTAAAAAATCATCACGCAGCAGTTTAATGGGCCAGTGTAACAAAGCTCAAAGAGAAATACAACCTACAATGCTCATCATAAAATAAAAACACTGGGCATGTGCAAAAACAGGCAAATGTGGTTCATACCCAAGAAAAAATGAATGGAAATGCACCTGAAGATGACCCACATGCAGAAGCAGCAGACAAAGTCGGCAGCGGTGGTTGTAACTATGCTCAAGAACTCAGAGTGGTTTTAAAGAGTGAGCATTTGGTGAATCACATGAGAGAAACGGCAATTATATGGCACAACCAAACGTGTGTTCCAAAGCAGAAAAATAAAATGATGTGGAACGAAAACACCACTGACTGATCTAAACTGTAGAATGGAGATGGTAGAAAGCCCAGTGAACTTGAAGATCAATCAGGAAGAATAAACCTATTGGGCCCCGGTGCAGTAGCCTAGTGGCTAAAGTCCTCGCCTTGAATGCACCGGGATCCCATATGGGCACTGGTTCTAACACTGGCTGCCCCACTTCCCATTCAGCTCCCTGCTTGTGGCCTGGGAAAGCAGTTGAGGACAGCCCAAAGCCTTGGGATCCTGTGCCTGCATGGGAGACCTGGAAGAGGCTTCAGATTGGCTCAGCTCTGGCTGTTACAGCCTCTTGGGGAGTGAATCAGCAGACAGATCTTTCTCTCTGTATCTTCTTCTCTCTGTGTATCTGTCTTTCCAATGAAAGTATACAAATCTTGAAAAAACAAAAAGAATAAACCTATCTGATGAACATGGAGAAAATAATACTGCGGGGCATAAAAGTCTAAGCACCCTCGAGGACGCCATGAAATGGTGCACTGTAAGTACGACTGGGGTGCCAGCATAAAGACGTGAATGGCTCCCACCCTTCACGGAAAATGTCACCTTACAGACTCACGGGGACCAGTCGATCTGAAGCAGGGCTAAGTATAAAGAAAGCTAAGCCTTGGCACATCACAGAGCAAAGATGAAGAGAATCGGGAAAGCAGCCAGACGCGTGACTCGGAACGTGCCAGGCAGCACAGCGCGACACGAGGCGACGCTCTCCAGAGCGAAACACAGAGACAGACGCTGCAAGAAGCTTTTCCCAAGAGCTCAGAAAGAAACTACTGACCTACCCAGAATTCTGCGGAGGGAAAGTATCGTGCAGTCATGAAGGACAGAGAAAGACTTGAGCAAACCTAAGTGTTGAGAGTGTCTGTTGTCTACAAAAAGTTCTAACGGGAATTTCTGGGGCTAAGGGGCAAATGGCATTCAATGGGAACTCAAATTTATGAAAAGATACCACAAGTGAACTGTCTGAGGATGAGTCTGACTCTCTGTGAAGTCTTTTTCTTCATTTTTAAAAAAGGGAACTATTTGAAGTAAGAATTTATCACATCCTTGTGAAAGCTAAGCCATGCAGAAGATAAACATGATTAATAGTACACAGAAGAGAAAAGGGAAGCGAACTCTTGGAAGGGTCTTATATTTTTTGTAAAGTAGGATGGCACTGACTCTAATCAATAGCTATAAAATTGAAATATATGTTGTGGGTGTGGGCATCACGGTGCAGGTTCAGCAGTAACACTGGCATCCCGCATCCAAGTGCTGCTTGCGCCCGCTGCCCCCTGCTAAGGCACCTGGGTCCATGTACTTGGGGCTTCGCCATCTGCTTGGGAGACTGAGATGGGAGTTCCTGGCTCCTGGCTTTGGTTTGGCTCAGCTCTGGCTGTAGTGGCCACTTGAGAAGGGAACCAACAGCTACAAGTTTTTTCTTTCTTTGTCTCTCCCTTTCTCTCTGTTGCTGCACCTTTCAAATAAAGTGAACCTTTAAGAAAAGTGTATGCTTGTGATCTCAATGCAACCACTAAAACCAAACCAAACTAACCAACAAAAAAACAGTAAAGACTCAAATACTTAAAAAAGTTAATCCAAAAGAAGGCAATGAAAGTAGGGACATAGAAACAGAAAACCAAAAGCACATGAGAGGCCAGTACCATGGTGTGGTAGATCAAGTCACCTTTTGCAAGGGGAGTGTCCTATACAAGGGTGCTGTTTCAAGCTTCAGTTACTCTTGTTTCTGATCAAATTCCATGCTAATGTAGTTGGGGAAACCAACCAACCAACCAACCAGCCAGCCAACCAAAAAGTGGTCTGGATCCTGGGGTCCCTGCCACTTGCCTGGAGACCCACATGAGTCCTAGACTCCTAGCTTCAGCCTGGCCCAGCCCTGATAGCTGTGGCCCCACGGGGAGTAGAACAGCAGATGGATGATTTCTTTGTCATACTACCCATAAAATACATAAATCTTAAACAAACAAAAAGGCACATGATACTAATACAGAACAAAACAGTAGATAGAGAATCAATTAAACCAAGAGTGACACTACATGTAAATGAACCACACACTCCAATTTAAAATCAAAGACTATGATAATGGATTTTAAAAAAGCAAGATCTAGCAATAATCTTTATGCAAGAGATAAACAGATACTCAAAAGGCTTTTACAGATAAAAACAGAGAGCAACATAAAATAATTGGTATAGTTAAATTAATACTGGGCATAGCAGACTTCAAGACATATATTATTACCAGAGGCAGAGAGATGTTTTATTCCATCAGGAAGCTATATCCTTCACAAATGTGCACACACACAGTAGCCGTTGAACATATGAATCAACAGCTGTCAGTGTGATGGGGGAAAGAAACAAATCCCCAGGTAAAGTTGCAGATTTGGACTATCTTCCTTCAGGAAAAGACAGAAACAGCACCCTGCATCTTTAAGGTCTTAAATGGCTGCTTATTACCACATTGATAGACCTTTTATATATAGCTTCTGATGTCTACCACTGCAGAATTTATAGAATAATCTTGAGCTATAAGATTTAAGTTTTCCACAATACTGAAATCTTAGAGTATATTCTCTGAAAACATGGAATGAGATTAGAAGTCAACCAAGACAGGTTTCCAAACTCAGATATTTAGAATATTAAAAAAAAAAAAACATAATCATGGGGTCAAAAAACAAATTTTACAGAAAACTAGAAAATATCTCAACGCTACTAATCCTCAGATTGCTTGTTCGCTGCTTTATTTTGTATGCAGGTGACTTTTCTGTCTTCTAGAGGTACCGCGGGTACCTCTTTTGTATTTGAACACCCAAGATTGATATTTATGCACACATACAAGTAAAAATATGTGTGGGGTCACATATTCATCTGTTGCTCTGCCCAGATGTTTTCATATAGATCCACTGGGATCTGGCCTCTCCTAACCTTCCCTCCTCACCTCTTCTCCAAAACAGCACATAAATATGAGTCCTTACCTTCAAATAAGCCCCCTAATTTAAAGCAAGGAACAGTTACTATCTAGAAGCATTGCTTTGGTCTTTAAGCAGGTTAAAGGTATTCTGTGACAAGGCTAGCAAATGATTAGCCAGGTATCGACTGCCAACATGAAACATCACTTCTCTCTTCTGTCTCCTCCTCTTGTTTAATCTGTGATAATCTTTGCCCTTTCTAGGTGATGGCATGGGGTGGCAGACACCTTGGATTTAAATATATGAATATATGGATTTCATAGTCTGCTTAGGGAATATCAGACAATACAGCAAATCACGAGTTTTGAACTGATCTAGACTTAGGGGACCCACGTGAGTCCAGTAAGCAAGTCTTTTCTGGGGACGAAGCCTATCTTACTCATTGTGAATGCCTAGGTCTATGACATTAGTTGGTTAAAAAATGCTGCTAACCACGTGGCTCTAATGGGCTCAGTCATTGCATTGCCCCATGAGCCTCTGGGCCCTGGCTGAAGTGCCCTGGAGTTTGCCCTGATCAAGAACACAGCCACAACTCTGGGATCAACAGGATCATCCTCAGCAGAAGTGGCAGGTGACATCAAGCCCTGTGACATTCTTATGTGATAGGAGTCTGAATTGCAGCCACCATGCTCTCCAACAGCACCAGGGCTCTAGATGTTAATTACGCTGTGATTAGAGCTTCCTTTCCAGACATTCCAGAAGAATACTCTTCCCCCTTTGGCGTTTCTCTTCTAACTGCCAACAAAGTCAACTCCAGGAGCTCAATTCTGGCAGAGACAAGACTGACAGCTGGTTCTGAGGTTGGCATTTGCAAAATCGCATAAGCATATAATTACAGTTCTCTCTTTGTTTTGGATGGTTTACCTTCATCAGGCTGTCAAACTCCAACCCCAGTTATGTTATCAGACGCCTGGAGCGTAAAGTCATTACTTCTCAAGGCTAAATCTTTGTTTTTATTCTAAACTCTTGTAACTCAAGGGACAGATAAGATGTTTTGGGTTGTGAAAGAGAGAGAAGCTGATTTTCTAAACACATAAATAAGAATGTAATTTGAACTCCTGCCCTCATAGACAAACTTTCTCAATTAGTTAAGCTTTTAATGATTTTGCTGGGAAAGAGTTCCCAAGTGGTCCTGGGAGGGAGAGGGAGACAGCAAAAAAAACTAGACAACTAATTGCCTTCTCCAGCTGAAGCACTTCTATACATCTGGGCTCAGGAAAACAAAACAAAACAAATCTGGATTCAACTGTCTTGGTGTTGAATTAAGAAATGAGTCTCACCTTCTCGCCGATCATTTCTAAGAACTCGCACTTTCTCAATTTTCCCCAACAGAGCGCCATCCTCAGCTAGGAAGAGAAAAGAGGCAGAACCCATTGAGTGCTCAGTTCACAGAAGGCAGTGCCTCTCAGCACAGCGAGTCCGGGTCCCCTAAGACCTAACCATCCTCCGATCTGCTGCACCTCCCAACACTGCAAGAGGAACGCCCGTGGCTGGGTGGGGGCTTAGTACTTACGGTCATTGCTGTAGTCATCCACCAAGATGATCTCTTTGATGAGATGGGGTGGACTTTTCTTAAGCACACTGAGAAAGACACAAAAGATGCAGGTTTGGGGCCTTTTAGGGGTGTCACCTGGGGATAGGGGGTCCACCTGTCTTGGCTGGGAGAGTCCCTGTGCTGAGCAGTCAGGTGATGGAATCTGCAGCCTGGGTCCCAGCTAGGTCTAGATAGACAACACTGCCCTTGGGGGTAAGGAAGGAGTGTGTGGCCTCTCTGGACCTCACCTGACCACTGTCCTCAGCAGGGCCGACCTGGCTTCATTGTGGAACGTGATCACCACGCTGGTGGCTGGCAGGTCCACCCTCCACTGCTTGCGCTGACACCTGTGGAGAGAGAAAGATGCTCCTTAGGAACAAGGGGCCCAGGCCAGCTGCAGCTTGGTCACCCTTGGAGAGGACAGGCAGATGGAACTGCTAAGAAGCATGTGCTATAAGTGACTTGCTTTCTGCAAAGTCAGAAGGAAAGGAGAAAAAAAAAAAAAGCCCACAACCAGAGTGATGTTTTTTAAGACATGAAAGATTTTGGCAAAGAGTAACACATTGAGGACATCCTTCTAACATGTTTTGAAAAGTGTGTTTTGAAACAGAGAAATGCCATCTCCACGTGCATCAAGCACACCTCGAGAGATGTGCTTTTCCTGGTTCACAGCAGTTGTTTCTGTGGGGCAGAACCAACTGTGCGCACTGCTCTTTTATGTTCCACTTTGTCTCCAACAGGCGTGTGATGCTGCGCCTGTGGTATCTGAAACCTGGCTCTCATCGAGCACGGCAAGAACACTGTTCTCCCTCAGCTTGGGCTGTGGGGACACACGTCTGTCGCCCTGCCAGGCTGAGACGGGGTTGCAGGCTGCAAGCAAGGAGAACTGGAGTCCATCAGCACTCCACTGTCCTTTCAGCAGTAGTGACAGACCCTGGGATTGCCCCAGAGGTGGGAGCTGATTCAGGGGCCCAGACGTACCAAGTTAAGGCAGATTTCAACAACATGCTTCCAAAACTTGAACGCCACAGATCCACACAGGACTGGAAGGGCACTGAAGGACTAGTTTAAAAACAGGACTGTTACCAGCGCTAAGATTAAAGCTGCTGTGGCAGGATACACTAAAGGACCCAGCAGAGGCAGGACCAGGCTCTGCAGGAGCCACTGCAAGGCACTCGGTGAGTCAGGACACGTGGTCCCGAGGGTCAGTGAAATGGGGGTTACTGAATGGGTGTCACAACGGGCACTAGCCTGGAGCAGAGGCATGGGTAGCAAAGGCACCTTGGGCTTCAGAAAAACGACTTTGGAGGGTTCATCCTCAGGGGCTGGGGGAATGACTAGGTGTTAGCAGCACGGCAACAGGGGCTCCTGCTGGCATGGATCATCTACAGAGAGTGGCTGCAACCTCAGCAGGTAAACCTATGCCACTGGAGTTACAGAAGTGAGAAAACCTTCCACGCACAGGATTGATACATTAAAAAACAAATCACCTGCTCCCAGATTTATTTTAAAACAGGAAACTGGAGTAAAGGAGATAGATTAAGGAATAAAAAAAAAAAAATGCAGCCCTAGCGAAGGTTAAGGACTGAAGGGGAACCACTCAGACAGCTGTTGGACACGATGGTGGAGCATGTCCACATGAATGTGCCAACCTTGAAGGGAAGATGTTCCACAGACAACTGATACCCAAAGCCAGGAAGATTACTTCCGAGAAGCACATTTTGAAAACGAGCAAGAAAAGAGGTACAATTAAAAAGCAATTAGCTTAGAATCACAGAACAGGCTTCTTTTGTTTATTCTCTTTATTATAGTGAGGCTTGTTTTAATTAATCATGAGGAAACAGCAGATCACTGTTGCTTGGTGGGGAGGGGTAATGCTCACTGGAATTCATATTGCATCTCATTAGGGCTCCTGTGCTAATAAGCCTTGGCTGACAAGTAGACTGATAGGTCAGTTTCGTTTCCAATGTTAGGAATGAGCAGATTGTCAGATTAAGGGAGGGAAGACTCTGCAAGGCTTCAACTGTAAACAAATTACCCAGTAATGTCATTCCCCAGAACCCAATCTGTGATGCTAATGAAATAAGGACTTTGCGTTGTGGGGGAGTCACGTCCTCTGCAATTAGGTTCCACTTAACGCAGTCGGGTGCTGAATGGCTTTCTGCATGCTGGCTTCCGCAGCCACCGGAGGATCAGCAGAGACACCGGGCAGCATTTTTCACTTTCAAATCACAGAAACTGAAGCAATGCCATCATGTCCTGTTCTCTCGTTTTCGTTTGCTCTGCGGGAAGCCTCATCTTCCATGAGCACTTGGGATGTCTCATGGGGCTCCAGGAGACGTTTTTTAGAATACGTGGGGTGGGAGCATTTGCATTGCTTTATTAAAATTCCCCTACATATTGACAGGCAGGAAGATCTGCTAGGGGCTGGCAATCAGCAAACTTCACAGGGATTCTATTTTTAAGGGCAGACAGGTACCAAGTAGAAACAGAGGAAGACTGACATCCATGAGCGTGTGAGTGTGACTGTAATCATCACAAGGAGCCAAGAAAGGTTGGGTGGGTTTGAGGAATTTCACGAAAAAAGAACACATTTTGCATCTGAAGAGCCATAAGCTGGGCCACTGTCTTCCTTCAGAGGCACTGGAAGACAGCCCCAAATAGTAACTGGAGAGCCTGCTGAGGCTCTTCAGGCTTGGCTGTCCTTGGAAATCTGAGTAGAAACGGTTGTTGGTTTAAAGCCAGCAGCAGGAAGAGCCTGCAGTCAGTCTGTGCTCCCAGACCACATGGGCTAGAAGCCACATGACAATGACTGACCTGGCTCTGGCCCACCTGTGCTCCCCAGCATCTGTTACAAAGGGGTCCCCTGGGCCCTCTCTCTCCATCGAAGCTGGAGAATTTGAAAAGTGGATGCAGGGTCTGGCATGGTGACCTGTCGGTTAAAATCCTTGCCTTGAATACGCTGGGATCCCATATGGACGCTGGTTCTAATCCTGGCTGCTCCAGTTCCCTTCCAGCTCCCTGCTTGTGGCCTGGGAAAGCAGTTGAGGACGGCCCAAAGCCTTGGGTTCCTGCACCCGCACGTGAGACCTGGAAGAACTCCAGGATCCTGGCTTCAGATCGGTGTAGCACTGGCCATTGCAGGCACTTGGGGAGTGAATCATCGGACGGAAGATGTTCCTCTCTGTCTCTCCCCCTCTCTGTATATCTGATTTACAAATAAATAAATCTTAAAAAAAAATGGATGAAGATCTCTGAATCCTCCATTCAGGTATCAATCACTCTGAGACCTGACCTGATTGTCCTGCAACAGGAACAGTCCTGACGCATCAGCAATGTGCTCCTGAGACACTCCGTGTAGGGGAACAGACCTGACTCTGACAATGATGACTGATGTGAAACCCACACAGACACTAAGGACATAATTAAACATAGGCCCGTTCCAACTGGGAAGCCAGGGCGTCCGTATGGAGGCTTGTTTCCCAGTGTGGGGAGAAACACAGAGAAGTGTGTGTCTTACTAACCCCACCCCACGCCCAGCAGGCCGTTTCCACCCTCACGGCACTGGTTTGGTGGTTCTGTGCAAAGGGCCCATGGTAACTGTGGTTACTAACCGCATACTCGGAGGCAACTCACATCACGCTCAGCTGTGAATGTGGCCCTGGCAATTTCCCAGTCTCTCATCCCTAACAGGAAAAGTGAAGAAACAGGTTATACAGAAGGACTTTGAAAAGCAGAGAGGTCATGGTGATGAATACAGGATCGTGATCTATGCCCGCAGCTGCAAGAGTGGCTAATCCGCAAAGCATGGAGTTTGCACTGGGGCTTTTTCCCTGGGAACTTGGACATGAGGCTAGTGAGCACCTGGAGGATTACCCGAGAACAGGGCGAAGGGTCGCCACGCTTTCAAAAGGGGTGCAAAGAACGGAACGGTTAGAGGTAGCTGGAGAAACACACGTAAATAAAAGAGAGGTTAGCACCTCAAGAATCTCTACAAAGACCGGGACGGGGATGTGCCTAATGGCAAGTGCACACTTTCTGTGCAGTGATCACACACATCAAGCAGAGAGGATCTCGGGAAACACCTTGGGTAAAAATACCCCGCATCTCTCCAATGTTCCGGTTTTTGTATAACATTCTCCAGCTGTCACAGAACAGCTAAGTCTGGGTCACGCACAATGAGCAGAGATTTGCTTGGGTCCTGGCTCTGGGAGTGGAGATGCCCAAGCTCAAGGCACCAGCCTCTAGCAAGGGCCTTAACCATGTTGGAGGGGCCAGGAGATGTGAGACTGACCAGAGCACAGAGGAGGCCAAATGTTATGACAGAGCCACCTGCCCTCATAGCAATGGCATTAATCCATTCCTGAGGGCAGAGCCTAACGTAGGACCTTAGGACCTCACCACCTCACAAAGACCCCACAGCCCCCAATACCAGGCACAGCAGCAATGGAGCTACACTCTGCTTTTCTTGGGGAGCTGTCACAATCACAGCAATGAGCAATTAAGCACTTGTTTATGTTTGCACAGGTACATTTCTATTGCAGGAAAGATGGGAATGGGGCGTACTTTAAGAGACAAAAAAGGAATTCTAAAAACAATGTTAAGACCTGCTGGGTACCTGTTGCTTACACAGCACCCAGGAGCATGCCCAGTTCATCTCAATCCTGCAGGGGAATCCCTTGCCTAAAGGGGCAGATTCTGATCAGATTCAGACTTGATGTTGGAGCAAACCTGCAGGCCACAAAGCCTCAGAAAGTCAGCTACCTCTTGCCGCACAGCCACAAGCAGGCATGCCGGCCCCGGCCCAGCTGCTTGCAAACAGTGCCAGACTCACATGAGGGCAGGACGTTTCGAGGCCCAGATCACCATGACATCTGCATTCTGGATCGATTTAGTCTGTGAATTCAGTTTGAGTTTGTCCCTGAGAGACAAAAAAAGCTTGGATGTGCTGACAAGAGTAGAAGCAAAGCATCCAGAAGGAAGTAAATAATAAATAAGTTTCAAGGTTTGCAGAACTTTAAGACCAATCACTATGGCAGTGAGCCTTGCCTGGCCCCTCCGACAGCCACGATGGACACAGCTGTGTGCATGCGTGTGAACTATTTCACACCGACAAAGTACAGAGCACTCACACAAGCCCCCATGCAGCTTTACTAAATCACAGTATTTTGTGACATTGACATTTGATTGTTGCTTTTTTAAAAAAAGAAAAAAAAACATGAAACGATCCACCACGGGTAACTACTACCAATTCCTTTATGCCCCATTCTACTTCAGTTTCCTTCTTCACCAGAGGTAACCCCCACCACTTCGAACCTGACACTTCCAGCTCTGTGTGCACACACAT